GAAAATTAAAGGCAGTGAAGCATTAAAGGAAAACAGGCTTGGTTCCCTCCCCCCCTTCCCCTTTTTTGTTTTTTTAATACGAGGTTAGCATTACATTAAGAGAATCCATAGCATTTGGAGACTGCAGAGTATCATTTAATGTAAAGCACAGGAAATTAAGAACAAAGTACTCAAAAGATGACCATTATTTCTCCTTTCAATATGAAGGAACAGTCTGATTAAGGTAAGCAGAATGCCGAGAGGTCTTGGGAATAAGGAGGAAGAATGTGAATAAATGAAGGAGAAAAAGTAGGAAAAGTAGCAAAAAAATAAGAATGTCCAAGTTTCTACAGATGCTTGGTTTCTTTCTCTACCTGGGAGTCTTAGGAGTCTGAGAGGTAGACGGTTGGTTGGGTGGTGGAAAAAGAGTGGGAGGTTTGGTGACCAGGAAGAGAGGTTGGAGGGGAAGAGTGGGGGGTGGGGTTGGGGGATGAGAGGAGGAGGCGGCGCAATCCCTGCTAATAATGACGATGGTCTTGTCGAGGTTCTGAAACTTGAACTGGGCGACGTCGATGTAGAATCTGACGATGTCGTCCACAGTAAGCAGGGAGCCGAATCTTCTTTCTACTCTTGTTTTTTGCAAAGTGACGAGAGATGGCGGAATGATGAGTGGAAGGGAGAAGAGGTGCAGAGGAATCAAAGAAGTTGTTGGGGGATCAATAACGAAGATCCTGTCTAGCTGAGGATCGGTAATTATTGGAGGTGATGGTTTTTGGGAGGAAGACAAGTCAATCAGTGTCGAAAATAACAGAAGGAGATGAGTTGGAGGTATGGGAGAAAAAGATTGGAGCATAAGATGAGGAGGGAAGTGGTGTTTTAGAAAGGGATCGCAAAGTGGTGTTTCCTTGGGTGGGGGGGAATGATAGGAGAGGGAGGGAGATGATGATCTCGGAGAGGGAGGGGAGGTGGGGGAGGAGGGCGAGAGAATGACCGGGCCGGTATGTACTCCCTTAGCTTGGCAGCGCTGAGAAGGATCACAACAGAGTTTCCTTTCCGCTCCTCTGGCAAGTGAGCCACGAGGTAACCAGATTGGGTGAGTTAACCGGGATGGGAGAGCTCACACACCACGACCAGGGTGAATGCCTGCCTACTGTGGGCAATGGTGTGCCTGATGGGGCCATTTGAGGGGGAGTGATACTTCAAAAGCTGCCTATTCGTCGTCCTTGGGGGGTACGCCGTCTCCTGCTGCGAGGCGGAGAGGCGCGCACACCGAAAGCTTTGCCCATCCCTCTCTCTCTCTCTCTCTCTCTCTCTCTCTCTCTCTCTCTCTCTCTCTCTCTCTCTCTCTCTCTCTCTCTCTGTTATATGCAGTCTCCGTCCTCGAGGTGGAGAGAATCTCACACGGAAAGCGCTCGCCATCTCTCCTCTCACACCCACCCTCTCTCTCTCCCTCCCGCGTCCTCTCTCTCTCTCTCTCTCTCTCTCTCTCTCTCTCTCTCTCTCTCTCTTGTGCTTCACGTTTGTCTACACTCTGTATATCTCTTAGTGAGATATGGCGCCAGGTATGAAGTTCTGGGACGACTGGGTTGATCCTGCAGACATGGCCGCCATGTGGGAAAGGAGTGACGTGTACGCTGAATGGATCGCGGCGGGGGAGCGGCCTGGGCGTAAGGTGCACATGTCCAAGCTGTCGGACGGAAAACCATATGTCACACAGACAGAGATGTGGGCGATGGCGAATATCATCATACAGAGGCACTTCAAGGGGGCCGTGGAACCGGCTATGGTGTGCGCCATAGCCGAACTCGAGAGTAGCCGACAGCCCTTGGCTTATCGTTTCGAGCCTGCTCTTGGGGAGGCCAGCACCGGGCTGATGCAGACCCTCCAGTCTACCGCTGAATGGCTTGCCCGAGATATGGGTTATCACGCCTACTCCGTGGACTGGGCGGTTACCCTCTTGTACAGACCTTTCGTCAGCGTTTACTATGGCGTTGCCTATATCCACTGGCTCTCCTCTTATTGCGGAAAGCAGCAGTCTGAGGAGTTCATCGTCCGAGCATACAATGGTGGTCCCCACGGCTCGCATTCCAAGGCTACCTTGCATTATTGGCAGCGCTATCAATCTGTGAAGAAGGCTATCCCGATTCCGAAGACCCCTGTGAAGAAGGTTATGCCTGTCAAGCTAGAGGCTGAGAAAGTGAAGACGGTGGAAGTTATGAAGCCTGTCTCTGTCGATGGTGGAACTGTGGAAGCGCAAGAGCTGCCGGTGGTGAGCTCGGGTACCACCAAAGAGTGGAGTTTTTGGGAGGAGAAGGCGTCAGCAGAGGACATGATGCAGCTGTGGAGGAGACCAGAGATTAGGAAAGAGTGGCTGAGGGCGGGAGAGAGGCATGGGAGGGTGAGGATCTGTAGGGATGCACAGAAGAGGCCGTACTTGACCAAACTGGAGCTGCGGGCAGTTGTAGAAATCACTCTAGAAAACCATTTTGCAGGTAAGGAGATCGATCCCTTGATGCTTTGTGCCCTCGCAGAAATAGGCAGCCAGCGGCTCATCTATGGGCCAGGAGAGAATCAAACTGGCCTCATGCAGACGGAATTGACGACTGCGCAATGGCTGTTTAGGGACATGGGGTTCAAAAAGTACCGGGTGGATGTCCCCGATGCCCTTTCCCAGCCATTTACTTCAACGTATTTCGGAGCGGCCTATGTTCAGTGGCTTGCTGAGCACAATGGCAAGAAGCAGAGTGAGGAGTTCATTGTTAGGGGTTATGGAGGGGGCCCTGGTGGTATTAATCGTCCAGCCACCGTGACCTATTGGCTGAAGTACCTGGAGGCCAAGGCAATGTACGCAAAGGAATGGAACCTGAAAGACAGTCGCCGCTTCAATAGGTGCTCTGTGCAATAGGGGGATCTCTGGAGGAACTGGGATTAATCATGGGTGTTATATGATGGTCTTATCCCTTCGCCTTGCTAAAAATAGACATGGGTGTTATCACTTTTTGCCTTGCTAAAAATAGACATGGGTGGTTATATCCCTTTGCCTTGCTAAAAATAGGACATTGTTCTGAACACAGAAGCAGGAGGTTTGTGTGCCAACGGCGGTTCTAGGTCATCTCTGTCCTCCTACTGCAGTAGGAGTAGGAGGACAGACGCGATGTGATATACTCCTCTTCTCGGCATTTTCTCAGTCACAATCAGTCAGGGAGCCACATGCTGCCGCTGATGGAGGAGAGCGAGGTACAACCTTGTGGTGTTGTGCTTGGTGTGTGTCAAATTGGACACTACAACCTTGCAGGGGACCGGCGGCGTTCCACTTTTGAACACCATGTCGTGGCCGTAGTGGGTAAGAGACTTGGCTCTTGAGGCCATGTCGTGGCTGTAGTGGTTAAGAGACTTGGCTCTTGAGGCCGCTGTAGTGGGTAAGAGACTTGGTGCTTGAGGCCGTGTCGTGGCTGTAGTGGGTAAGAGACTTGGCTCTTCAGGTGGAGGTCGCCCGTTCGAATCTGTGCTTGCACAGAGGAGGACCTTGTGGGCCGTGAGGACCTTGGGCCCCCAGATGTAGGGATCTGTAACTACTTAGGCAGTTGCCTCAAAGTATTTGTGATGGCTGTGTCATTGCTGCGCTCTGCACATCCATGGACCTAGACAAGTTTGAATGGTTTTCCTTTGCAAGAAAGTGAAGGTGCTGGCAGTTCAAACATGTTTACTTTGTTGGGGTGGCTGCTCCAGGCAAAGAAATTGGATTCCGACCCTTGCCGTGGCCTAGCTTAACTAGGGTCAGGCTTCTGAGTCACACTTGTAACCGTTTCTCGTCGTCTCAGTTTACAGACTCAAAGAGTGCATGCTGCCACCAGCACAGGGGATGCAACGACCATGTGCGCTGAACCGTGACCCTTGAGCCTCTGATGGCCCACCACAGTTGTACGGCACCCTCACGAGATTCAGGAGATGTGTGTGTTGCAACGGGGTGCCAGATTTGACTATGGTGTTGTCATTCGGGTGAGCGCAGGCGCAGTCAGGTTCATGCACCTATGAGGACAGTCTCAGTTCCGGGCCAGGGTTCCCCTGTGAGTCCCCTATGAGTCAGTCGGTCCTGTAGCCGGGATGTCCCCCGCAACTGTGCCAGTTTTGACTATAATGGTGTTATCGTTGGGGTGAGCACAGGTGCGGTCAGGAGGTTCTTGCACCTGTGACAGGCTCAGTTCCGGACCAGGGTTCGCCTATGCGTTGGTCCCATAACCGGGATGTCCCCCGGCAACTGTGCCAGATTTGACTATGGTGTTGCTGTTCAGGTGTGCGCAGGCGCGGTCAGGTTCATGCTCCTGTGGCAGTCTCAGTTCCGGACCAGGGTTCCCCTACGACTCGGTCCCATAGCCGGGATGTCCCATGACGTACTAGCTGGTAATGTCTTGGACTTTCTTTGTAGTTTCTGTAAAGTGCATTTTGTGTTTGGAAAGGGCAGAGACGCAAGTGTACTTCATTCGGAATTTTTGTTGACGTTTGGTATTAAAATTGTGGAAACTCTTTGGCCAATTAGGAATCCGCGCCTTAGCGAACGCATGTAACTCGAGTTACTTGCAAACATCAGACTTTATGTATGCAGGCCTGTTTCGGATTTTTCAAGCCATAGCGAGCATAATATGCACTTTTGTGTTCTTGAAGGCTAGTTAGGGCATACTCACACGATGACTTTTTCCACAAAGCTCTCTGGACGTGATTGCAGTCAGGTGCATCCTGGTTTGGCTTTAATTGCAGTCAGATGCATTCTGGAAAGCGCTAGTGTCAGTATGTCCTCAGTCTGGGCGCGATGGTGCACACGTAGGAATAGAGAGACTTTTCCTCCTATCTGACATTTCGCCTCTTTTCCTTGTTGGTGTCCATCATTCTGCTAGCATCCTCACTCTTTTGGCGCACTGGTGCCTCAATCCTCTGTTCTTGCTGCATACGCCGCCAGAAATTCTCAGACTATCACCATCTCCCTGACCATTTCAAATCAACAATCTTGAAATCATTGACCTCTTTCTCAAGTTCCCCTCCCCTTCTTTCCCGTCTTCCTCTTCATGGGCCGGCACTTTGCATGTCATGATTGGGTCGATGCGTGGAGGGAGGCAGAAGTTCCCCATGCCACAGTTCGATCATGCGACTCGCAAAGCACTCCCTTCCATCTGCACTCTTCTCTCCCTCCTCCCTGGATGGGATCGTTGGGGTTGGCTAGCTCAGTATGCGCAGCCCAAATTCTCTCTCTCTCTCTCTCTCTCTCTCTCTCTCTCTCTCTCTCTCTCTCTCTCTCTCTCTCTCTCTCTCTCTCTCTCTCATGTTATGGGAAAGTCCCAATGGGTTCATGCCAGTCATGCGGGGTGGACGAGCAAGCTGCGATGGACTGCTGATCGGCTTAAGTGGGTTGACGACCAGGATGATCTATCTGTAATTCTTACAGAAGTTAGCGTGATCATCAGGGCTGGCTAGCTCGGCGTGTAATGTGGTGGTCGGATGGGGAAGTCCCGATGGGCTAGTGCCAATCATGCGGGGTTGTCGAGTGAGCTGCAATGGACTGCTGATCGGGTTGATCGGGTCATATGCGGTGACAATCACAGGATTACGTGCAAGTGTCGAGGTGGGGTGACGGACTGTCCACATGCAACTTGGTTACTCTTGGATGCTCAGTGGCGAATCGAGTGAGAGAGAGGCGTAATGTGTCTCCCCTAGTTTTAAGCGGCTTTTCCTCTTCGAGTGAGAGAGAGGTGTAACGTGCTTCCCCTAGTTCTTATTGTTTTCTCGGAGTACGAGTCCTATGGATGTTTCGTGCATGGTTACATGGACTGGTGATGCGTGATGACACTGATGAGTGGATGTTTGCGTGTGCATGTTATGATTTGAACAATGCCCCCTTTGTCTCATCAACAAATGCATGATCATTAGTAGTTAGGATGCTCAGGTGTTCGCAGCAACCCTGTGGTCTACTTCTTATCACTCCTCTAACTCTTCCTCTTTTTGGATGTAACCCGCTGCCGTTCCCATACCACTTCGGACGATGAGAAATCTGTGAGCGGGACGTATGGGAGGCAGCGCCGACAATCTACAAGCCGTATCTTCTCCCTCCTGGGACTGTGTGCTCGGGGCTTGTCAGGTCAAGTTCTGTGAATGTTGAAGGTTCATCTCCCCTGTATTCACTGTTTTTGTGTGGTCACCATCGTGAACCCTACGCTTCTTTAAGTGGCGACGTGGCAATGACAATCAGTATGTTTGTTGCAACTTCGTGTACGTGGCACACACTGAGGAAGATTACCAGGTCTGGCACTCTCGACTCGATTGAGGGTGTCCACTGGAGTTTGCAAACATGACTTGTCCTTTAACCCACACCTAAGCCAACCAGGGCGGAGATAAATTGTTGTACTCACACCCCGCCCCAGACACAGCTTGAGTGGTATTCCCAGCCCCACCCGTAGCTCAAACGTTTCCAACACCCAGACTTGGCCCTACCCAGGCCCATTCTTCTTTTGCAAACCTGTACCCGCCTTGGCCTGTAGGGCAAGGAAAATCAGGCCACAACTTAAGCGACCAGTACTTTGCCCATACGTAGGCTGCGGGGGAAAAATAGAGTAGAAATGTTTCTAGTCGGTGGAATTTGGGCGCTTTCGTAGTGGCCCGTTCGTGCATCATTGTTGTGGCGCCGTGTACCTTTCCCATATGTCGGCCGTGGGCACTGCGCGCCGGCCCGAAAATCAAGACTGCCCGCCGATTCGATTTATTGGCGGCCGCCCTTCCGTTTCAGGCCAGCTCGGTACCCGGCGCGCCTCTGAAAACGTAGCTGGGAAAGGTGCTTGTGGTTTAATGAAGCAGAAACCCAAGTCCCTATCATATTATTACTTGTGCGCGACAATGTTGATTATTTTTGCAGAAACATTCAGTTCACACTACTTTTGGTGGAAGTATCATGAAAATTTTCTTATGTGAAGTAGCTATGAGCCCCTGTACCAGAAGCATGGGTGACATGATAGAGCCAAACAATTGAAAAAATGTTTGCAAACCAGCCACTGGCAGTTGAAGTGAAGAATTCATGTTATTGCATCCTAATTCAACAATGCAGCTCCAACTCACTGTGGAAGGGTTGGGTCGAACCAGGGGATCCTGCACATAAGACACCTGTGGGATAACGGCTCCTCAAACGGGATCACGCCAGAGCAACTTCGCGCCCGACATTGATGACGTGCTGGAGGTGGTGCTGGAGGGTCTACCCATAGCATGGTATTCCGTCCTGCGTAGGGGGCCCATCCTCAAGGAAGGGGACTGGGTTGCACAGAAGGAAGGACTCCCCACGGAGAGCTTGGTCCACATGGTGCACATGAATGATGCACTGTCCTTCAAAATCATGGTTTGTCTACTCATGGGAAATGGCATACAGTGGGCCCCATACGCCCACATCCAAATTGCTGGCCTGGCCTCCGAGTCCCGGTCCCCCCCACCAAGAACCGGTGCATCCACTGCAATGGTTCACAAACCCGGCATGGAATGTTGCTGACTCCTTGACCGCTCAAGGTGAGGTCTCCCCACAAGCCCCGACCTAGAATGACATCAACAATGACCAGCTGTGGCCAAACCTCGTCAGACTGCGGAGGGACGTGGGACCAACCTGGCTCCCCCCCTCCCCGCCCCCCCCGTAGATGGAGCGAAATGATAAAACAGCCCTTCTTCGGAAATCCACGTGTTGTAGATGCCTCCGGGGCGCCCTTGGACCTCTCAGCCGGCTCCCGATGGCGTCCATGGGCGGAAAGCGGAATCTTTACAATTCGGGATCTGTGGGATGATTGGAGGGGCACATGGAAAGATGACGACCAACTCAAGGAACAGCTGAAATTTTTAAAAGCACGATCCGAAAAATTAGAGTCCACTCATGAGGCTTTTCCCCTCGCATGGCTAAGCCAACTGAAAGTGGGACCAACCATTGAGAAGGGGGATTGGGTGGGCAACCACGCTGACCTGCAATGCCCGATGACAATCTGGAGGTTGCTGGTGATCAATTAATGAGACTTGGCTGGAAGGTCTTCTTGCCTAAGTCTCCACTCAGTCTGATGAAGCACACTTGGAACCGTATGACATTCGTCACCCCGGTGCCAGACTGTCCCCTCTGGCGCGGAGTCATGGAGATTATAAAAAGCAAAACTGGGCCGGCCTCATAAGAGTCTGGGTCCTCGAAGAGGCCGACCATACCTACTATGCATTTTAACAGAGTACTGCGATTGCAAAACTGTCCTTGGATTCGGGTGAATGTGAGTGGTCGCAGATAGGAACGGCAAAATCACTGAGGTAATGGCAGTATATGGTTAAAAAAGGGTGTAGGGTGGTGTAAAACAAGTATCCTTCCACACAAACAATCCAGAACAGATGGGCCCGAGACTCGATACTACCTGCAGGGTGTCTCAGCAACTTGAAATGGGCACCTTGCACACGAATCTTGCCCACAATGCACAGAGCCCTGCAGTGGCAGATCCTGTACCGATGCCTGCCAACCCCGGACTGTATTGTCTTCACAACAAACCTGGAACAACAGGGTAAGCTATCACCCATCTTTAGGTATTCTGGTAGAGCCTCCCGGCCTGCGAGAGCCACGCTGGAGCATTGCCTCCTGCCCTGCCCCGTGGCCGCCGAAATCTGCAGATGGTGGGACGAGGCATGGAATGAATTGACAGGCTCCCAGTTCCCATGGAACGTGGGCCTCCTGCTACTAGGCACATGTACCGATGACCCGCCAACATGGTCCCCATATGAGACAAACTTGTTTCAAATTACAAAACTGGAGGTCCCTATGATGGCCTGGAGAGCACGCTGCTCCTTCGAGCACGGGCAGAACACCTTTGGCCTCCTGCAGGCCAAACAACGCATGACAGACGGCCTCCATACCTCAGCAAAGGCAGCATGGGACCGGCTCAAGAAACTTAAACAAGCTATCCACGACGACCCTGTGCTCTCGAACACCACCAAACAAATGAGCCTCAGAGGATGGAGGAAGCCACTGACTGTGATAAGCCAGGATCCGTACTCAGCGGCTTCCCGTACCCTTAACTTAAAGGAAGAATCCCTCGTAAGCCCCGAAGTACGGATTCTAGGTGATCGGGAAGAGCGACGTCTATTTTTCTTTTTCTAAGGGCCTTTTTCGCATAGCCGGTTAGCGGCCGTGCCAAGAAATTCAAGAAACAGTTGGGAATTAGCTGGGGTAGGAATTTCAAATTTTTGCGTGCGCTGTTTTTCAAATTTTTGCACGCCGCGTAAACCCTTTCTCCCGCCCCGCATCCCCGCGCCGTCTTCCCTTCTTGCTGCGCATTCCCTTCCTGCATGTCTCTTCATCTTCCCTCTAGCGAAGTCTGATCCCCTCCTTCTCCCCTCCCTGCGAACGATTGGCTGTCTGACTGGGATGGTCGGGTCAATGTGGTGGTAGCGGGAAGCGCACCCCACTTGGACGACCAACCCAATCAAGCAGATCACTCGACTCGCTTCCTTCGATCCATCTGGAACCTCTGCCCTTCTTCTGTCCTGCTCATCTGCACCTCGTGCTTCGCGCTGGCTCCCCACCGCCTTCCGTGCTCTAAATTCTCGCAACCCCTTCCTCTCGCTTTCTTTGATCTTGGCTACAATGCTGCGCATGCTATGAGCGAAGTCCGCGGTGTCGAACAGGCTTGACGAGCCCAAGTGACGGGCAGAGTGACGACGTGATGGGCGGGCTTAGTGATACACTTGGGGTAAGACAGTCGGAGGGACGAAGCGGTGGTGGAGATCGGGCGCCCACAGCGCCAGGGCCTTGTGGCTATGGTTGTCGGTGGTTCAGACGGATTGGGGGTTGGACCAGGGAGGCCAGCTGTATGAGAATCTTTGTGTACTAAGGAACTCGCTTTTATCTCCATTGCTGCTTTGGCCCAGCGTGATGTGTGCAAGGTCCCGATGTGTGGGTATTCTGTGGTCTGCATGCCGTGGTATGAGAGTCTATGGATGTTGAACGTCTCCTTGTCCCGGAGGGTCCTTAGGAGTACGTTGTGAGGAAACCCGGGGAGGGGTCACCTACGTTTCGCCGAAGCCAAGGGCAACGACGCCTGTCACTCGCCGCGCCGCTTCCGAGGTCCTCGGCAACCCGTAGGAAATGGGGTTAGAGTGTTTGGTTACTTTCCCTGCCTTTATCTCATTAATTTCGGTAATTCCACAAATCCACACCGCGCCTAGTTCGGACAGTCAAATGTCCGTCCAGGGAATTTGTCGAGTCAGCAAGTTTGATTAGTCTACTGATCAGATCAGCAAGCTCGTCCCGCAACAAGATAGAATAGTTTACTAACAGTTCTGCCAGTTCACACACTAGGCGGCCCCACTTGCCGAGAAACAGATCTACAAGTTTGCCCACCAACAGATAAAAATAGTCAATTAACAGTCAGGTAAATCCGCCCGACGGCAAGTCAGAATAGTCAACTTCAGATCTGTAAGTTCATTCACTAGAAGGTCCGAATAATCAAGCAACAGTTCGGCGGGCCCGCACATCAGAGGAATTTTGCAGTCACCAAGAGAAGGAGTAATAGTAGCAACAATTTTCTTTGTCTGTAGGAACTTTTGTCCGTTGGGTCACTCGCTGCTCGCACGTTCAAAGGTAGATAGATAGCTGTGGTAAATCTGGTCTTTGCGAATGAATGCCTGTTCGTTACCTTCTCTATACGAAGGGTCCCGCCATGTATCTGATCAGATAATTGCTCCCATTCGATGATCAGATCTGCATGTTCAGGTCA